ATGAGTACTATCACCTAATCAATGAATTAATCCATTTAGCAGATTAACAGTTTGAAAGTACTACTATAAGAAATACTACTACAAGGCAGGCAGGGTGTGGCTGAAGGAACCAGGTCACTATAGGCATGACTTTGGGGTTTATACTTTGTCCCTGGCACCTCACTTACCCTCTCTTCTTCCTGGCAGCCATGAGCTAACATCTCTACTTCACCATGCCCTGCTACCATGATGTTCTGCTTCACCTCAGGCCAGAGCAATTGAGTCAATCCACCATGGAGTAAGACCTCTGAAACTTTGAGCCCAAAACAAACTTTTCCTCCTCTAAGCTTTTCTACTCAAGTATTTTGGTCACAATGACATAAAAGCTAACTAATACATTTCCCAACAACAAAAAGAAAAAAGGAAAGCCCAGGACCAAAGAGATTCCCTTCTGAATTTTGCAAGACCTTTAAAGAAGAAATAACACCAATGTTTCTCAAACTGGTCCATGAAATATAAAAGGAAGGAATCCTTCCAAACTCATTCTCAGTATTCAAGTCAGCATGACCCTACTACCAAAACCAGAGAAGGACATATCAAAAAAAAAAAAAAACTATAGACCAATATCCCTGATGAACACAGATGCAAAATCTAAAAAAAAAAAAAAAAAAATACTTGCAAATTGAATTCAACAACACATTAAAAAGATCGCATACCATGATCAAATTGGTTTCATTCCAGGGATGCAAGGATAGTTCAACATGGCAAATCAATAAACATAATATAGCACATAAATAGAATCAAGGATAAAAATCAAAACATCATCTCATATGCAGAAAATTGACAAAATTAAACATTCCTTCATAATAAAAGCCATGAAGCAACCAGGGATAAAGGATCATACCTGAACATAGTAAAGGCTGTATACAACAAATGCAAAGCCAATATTACACTGAAGGAGAAAAAACTAAAAGAATGTCCTCTAAAACAAGAAACTAGACAAGGATGTCCACTATCACAATTCCTAGTGAAAATAATACTTGAAATTTTAGCCAGAGCAATTAGGTTAAGGGAAGGAAATAAAAGGGATATGAATAAGAAAGAAGGAAGCCAAATTATCCCTGATTTTTGTTTTGTTTTGATTTTGTTTTGTTTGGGTACTGGAGATTGAATGCCAGGGCACTTTAACACTGAGCTAATCCCCAATCCTTTTTTATTTTTTTTACGTTGAGACAGGGACTAAGTTGCTGAGGCTGGCCTTGAACTTGCAATTCTCCTGCCTCAGCCTCCAAGGTCAATGGGATTACAGGCATGTGCCACCATGATTGAAATCCCTGTTTAGATATGATTCTATATTCAGAAGACGCTCTTGAAGACTCCACCAGTCAGGCATAGTGGCACACACCTGTAATCCCAGCAGCACAGGAGGCTGAGGCAGGATGACCACAAGTTCAAAGTTAGCCTCAGCAACTTAGTGAGGCTCTCAACAACTTAGTAAGACCCTGTGTAAAAATTTTAAAATTTTTTTTAAAAGGACCTAGGGCTGGGAACATAGCTCATTTGGTAGAGTGCTTGCCTAGCATGTACAAGGCCCTGGGTTCAATTCCCAGCACCACAAAACGCAGTGGGGAGGGGGTGCCTGAATGTTGCTCAGTGATAAAGCACCCCTGGTATCAAAATAAAGAATAAAAATAAAACAGACTCCTCCAAAAGATACAAATTTAGCACAGCAGGGGGACAGAAATCAACAAACAAAATCAGCAGCTTTTCTATACACCCATAATGAACTCACTGAGAAAAAGAAAACAATCCCATTTGCAACATCATCAAAAAATAAAATATCCAGGAATAAACCTATCCAAGGAGATGAAGAAATGAACATAAAAAAACATAAAGAAAATGAAATCAATAAAATTGATAAAAAAACCATGAAGAAAGAAATAGAAGAAGACCTCCCATATTCATGGATTGGAATAATAAATATTATCAAAATAACCAAATTACTGAAAGCAATCTACAGATTCAATGCAATCCCCACCAAAATACCAACAAACTTTCTTCACAGAAGTAGAAAAAAATCCTAAAATTCATATGGAAGCACAAAAAACGTTGAATAGTCAAAGCAATCGAGAGCAAAAACAGCAATGCTGGAGGCATCACAGTACCTGATTTCAAAATATACGATAGAGCCATACTTACAAAAACAGCATGGTATTGAAATACAAATATATAAACCAATGGAACAGAACAAAGGATCTAGAATGAAACCCACTATCTTCAACCACCTGATCCTGACAAGGGTGCCAAAAACATACATTGGAAATTCAAAATCCGGTGCTGGAAAAACTGAAAAACCACATGTAGAAGTTTGAAATTGGACCATTATTTCTCACTCAGTACAAAAATCAACTCCAAGTGGATCTAAGATCTTAATATAAGATCTAAAACAACTATTACAGGAAAACAGAGGAAACACTCCAATATATTGGTACTGGCAGTGATTTCCTGAATAGAACCCCAATAGCTCAGGATAAAAAGCAAGAATTGATAAGTGAGATTACACCAAATTAAAAAGCTTCTGACAGCAAAAAATAAAAATGAAGAGAAATAAAAATAAAATGAAGAGAAAACCTACAGATTGAGATAAACCTTTGCCAGCTATTCCTCTGACAGAGGACTAATATCAAGAATATATAAAAACTCAAAAAAGAAACGGTCATCATGGTGCACAACTATAATCCCAGCTACCTGGGAGGCTGAGGCAGAAGAATCACAAGTTCAAGACCAGCCTCAGTGATTTAGTGAGGCCCTCGAAAACTAAAAAATTCTCTCAAAATCTAAAAAATAAAAAGCTAGGAATGTAGCTCAGTGGTAGAGTGTCCCTGGGTTCAATCCACAGCACTGTTAAAATTTTTTTAAAAAGCAGAAAGAAATGAAAAAAAAAAACTCAAGCCAGGCATGGTGGTAGGTGCATGCCTGTAGTCCCGGCAACTTGGGAGACTGAGGCAGGAAGATTCCAAGTTCAAAGTCAGCCTCAGCAACTTAGAGAGGCTTTAAGCAACTTAGTGAGACCCAGTCTCAAATAAAAAATAAAAGGGCTGGGTATGTGGCTCAGTGGTTAAGTGTCCCTGGCCAAAAAAAGACAAAAACAAAAACACCCAAACCAAACCTCAAAAAAAGTGAACAAATGAACATGAAATTCAATCAGTAAATGGTCAAATGATCTGAATAGATATTTCTCGAAAAATGTACAAATATGCAACAAACATGAAAAATGCTCGACATCTTTAGACAACAAGGAAATGCAAATCAAAGCTTCATCAAGAGTCCATCTCATCCCAGTCAGAATGGCTATCAGCAAAAGAACAAAAAATAACAAATGAACTTTGGAGAAAAAGGAAAACTTATACACTATTAGAATACATATTAATACAGCCACTATTGAAAAAAGTATTGAAGTTCCTCAAAATCAAAAATAGATCTATCATGTGATCCAGCTATACTACTCCTGGATATATATCCAAAGGAAATGAAGTTAGAATACAAATTAGATACCTGCATACCCATGCTTCTTACAGCAATATTCACAATTGCCTCTACAAAATCAGTATAGGTACCCATGAACAGAATGTACTTTTAAAAAGTGTATATTTTAATTGCACATGTGCGGCGCACGCACACACACACAAACACACAATAGAGTTTTACTCAGCCATAAAGAAGAATAAAGTCATGTCATTTACAGTAAAATGAATGGAACTGAAGTTTATCATGCTGAGCAAAATTAGCCATACACATTAAGTTAAGGATCACATGTTTTTTTCTCATATGTGGAAACTCTTCAAAAAAAGAGACCTGAAAATAGAAGACAGTCTATTAAGGAAAAGAAAGGGATACAGGAAGAGGAGAAATGAGGTCAGGGGAGAGAGGAAAGGGCAGAAGAGGGTAGTAGGGAAAGTGAATACAATCTAAGCACAATAGACGCACAAGTGGAAATGTCACAGTGAAACCCATTAATTTGTACTATTAATATTATGTATTAATTATAATTTTTAAAAAGTGTCAAGAACAATAAAAAGAGATTAAGGAACTATTCCATATTAAAGGACACTAAGAAATATAATAGCTGAATTCTGAGTGATTCTGGATTATTTACTGTACGGGGAAAATAAAAGAGCAATATTACAGGGAGAACTGGTGGATATTGCAATATGGATTGTGAGTTAAATAACAACACAGTACCAATTACCAATAAATTTCACTGGCAGGGTGCTTGCCTAGCATGTGTGAGGCCCTGGATTTAATCTCTAGCACTTGGGGGGAAAATTATAAAGCATATTTTTTAAAGCATTAACAATCCAAAAGATTCATGGGAAATGAGCATTTACAGTCAATTCACAAAACAAGCTAATAAACATTTAGGAAAAAGAAAAACAAGAAGTCAACTTCGCTAATAACCAGGCAAATAAAGACAACAATGAGATGTATTTTTCCACCTGTTTTCTTTTTAAAAAACATCAACTGGTAAGTTTTCCCTAAAATGGCCAATCAACACTTTGTTAGTAGGAGTGTTAATTGGAAACTTTCAAGAAAGCAACTCATAAAAATGAATCAAAGCTTTAAAAATATCCTCACTCTTCTAGTTCATACTATCCAAAAGAAATAATCTCAACCATAGATTGAAATGTATGCCCAAAGATATTCATCAAAGGATATTTGCAGAAGCAAAATTCTTTAAAGTAATCCACATATTAAATAAAGAGAAATGGTGAAGTCAACTACACTGTAACCACAAAATACAATAGTCAGTCACTAAAATAGATTAAAATGGGAAATATGATGCAATAAACATTAAGAAAATAGAGTTTACAAAAGGAAGCATTTAATATAGACTTAACTACACAACTCATAAACCCCAGAACAGAAGTACTAAAAGCAAACAGTGACTGAATGTAAATACAAACTGGAAGTTGAACACCTGTGCCAGTCTCCAAATTGTTTCTAAGATCTTACTTACTTACCCCTTCATACCTGTTGCACCAACTCAAAACAGAGCAACCATTCCTTACATGGTGGTGTCCTTCTCCATCTGCCTGTTTGCTCCCTTGGCACTTGAGGGCATGGCACTATCTCCTGCTACACTCAGTAAACATTTGCTGCTTCATATTTAGAAACTCCCACCTCTTTTCATACATGTAAAAGAAGTGATTCTAGCTACTAAAGTTACCACAAACTGAAACCTAAATTAATATGCAGTTTCACTTTTCATTCCTTCTTTCAAGTAAAAACCTTAAAGAGAAAACATCTTCAGATCTCTTTCCTAACCTGATGCCTAAAGTAGGGAGGCAAAACAAAGACACCACATACCTGATTCGTAGGACCACAAATGTTGTCCGCTTACTTCTATGCCAAAAGACATTTACTTTAACAGTTTAATCATTAGCTCCCACCCACAAACACACCCATCTGTGCCTTGCAGAACTCAACCACTACACCGGGCCACACCTCACTCTAGTTTTGCCCTATTCCCCACTGATGCTGCCTTCCACTTGGCCACTTTCCACCTAATTAGCTGAACAGAGCACTGGCAGGGGAGAGAAGATTGTAAGCAAGGCTGGGAACACGGAGAAACCAGACAGGAGTAGGATTACCTAAATGTGGCAGAAGGCCATCTGAGAGGCATCCATAAGTCAGTGGCCCTAAATAGCAGCAATTTTTCACCACAGAGTTTTTGGCAGTGTTTTGAAAGATACTTTTTGTTGCCCAGTGTTGGAAGTGCTACTAGCATCTGGTAGAAAGAGGCCTGGTTTGATACCAAACATCCCACAAAGCACAGGACAGCTCCCCACAACAAATAATTATTCAACCTCAAATGTTACAACCTTAACAATACTGTTAAGGTTGAGAAACCTTAACAGTTACAAGGTTAAAACCTTAATAATACTTTACCATAAATTGATTTATCCACTAGTGCAATGGATTCTAATCCCAATTCATCAGGAACAAGATCCTCAGTGGGTAAAGGAAACCTGAGTTAGTTTAAGAAATATAAACAAACATACACATCCTTCTCAATCAGAAAAGTGTTCCTTTGGTGACCAAAATTCTACCTCAGGCATCAGGAGAGAAAGCATTATAATTTAAGAAAACTATTAAGAATGCCTGTTTCCCAAAGGCTTTGGTCCCCTACATATCATGTATTTCTGCAAAGACTGCTTCACAGCAGCAACTCTAAGAAGATAATACTATCAAAATTGCCCAGACGGGTAAACACCTTCAGAGAAGCTGGCAGAGCACCCACAGAGTAGATGACAAATTTAGCTGTGTATATCAATAGGACCTAAGAATTCAAACTCAGAGTGTACCACGCAACTTAAGAGAAAAGTGGTAAGCTCTCAAAGATCACTCAAAAAGAATAATTGTGCTGCTTTCCTAGATGAATCATCAAATACTACACAAGATTTAAGCAACATTTTCAAAATTATTTCAAAATTTATTTTGGCTGAATCCAAAATAAATATATAAATTTCAGATAAAAAGAGAATTTAATGTAAGAGTCATCACTACTATAATTTAGTTTAAAAGAGAACCACCAGGTCACACCAAAATAAGTTTTTCTCAGGCTGGGGGCTGTAGCTCAGTGGCAGAACACTTGCCTAGCATGTGTGGGGCAGTGGGTTCGATCCTCAGCACCAAATTAAAAAATAATAATAAAATTTAAAAACAAATAAAATAAAGACATTTTGTCCATCTACAACTACAAAAAAAGAATTTTAAAAAATAAGTTTTTCTCCATTATTTTAACAACTTTGTCATGCATGATTCCTGCCCATGGGAGGCCAGAAGGTTGGAGAAGTCATCCAGTGCCATCCCTAGATGAGACTTCAACAACTTTAACCTGTCTCTAAAGTCTCATTTACCTGTTTGACCTTGACCTTTGTCATTTCAGTATAAGAGAATACTCACCACTTAAGGTCCATTTTAACACTGAACAGGAATAACCATTAAAAATTCATCCATTATGCTGAATCAAGAATGCATGTCTGGGGCTGAGGTTGTGGCTCAGTGGCACAGTGCTTGCCTAACTCTTGCCCTCAGAATAATACCAAGTTGGATAACAAGATGCCATATAAATCAGGAACACTGGTGCACACCTGTCACACCAGCTACTGGGCAGGAGGAGGAGGCAGGAAGATTGCAAACATGAGGCCAGCCTCGGAAACTTAGTGAAACCCTCAGCAACTTAGGGAGACCCAGAATCAAAATAAAAAATAAAAAGGGCTGGGGATGGAGCCCAGTGATAAAACACCATGGGTTCAATTCACAGTACCAAAACCAAACACACAACATGAGAGGATGGGGGTATAGTCCAGTAGTAGAGCAGAAGCTTAGCATGCTTAAGGCCCTAGGTTCAATCTCCAGCACCAAAAAAAACCACCATCAGATACTACTTCACAGCCACCAGTTAATAAAAACATGTGAAATATTGGGTTCAATCATCAGCACCACATATAAATAAATCAAATCAAATAAAGATCTATCAACCACTTAAAAAAAAAAATACTAAACAAAAGGGAGAGTGCATGCCTTCCCAGCAACTCAGGAGGCTGAAGCAGGAAGATCACGAGTTCAAAGCCAGCCTCAGCAATTTAATGAGGTCCTAAGCAACTCAGTGAGACCCTGTCTATAAATAAAATATTAAAAAGGGGCTGGGGATGTTGCTCAGGGGTTAAGGCCCCTGGGTTCAATCCCTGGTACATAAAAAAAGTGCATGTCTTTAAACCACAGGTTTTAGTTTAAATCATGTGAAACAAGTCTTATTATTCTAGATGTATCTGCCCTTAAAGTTTTTCTCAAATTACCCTGCCCTCACTCCCCAATCCAAGCCTTTTCATTCTCCAGGTTTTAAAATGTATTCTCCTCATCAACTGTGTTATAGTTAGCTCTTTAAGGTATTATACAATTAAGACTCAATGGAAGGCAAAAAACAGAAGAATAAAAAGGAATCTTAGTAACCAACAGTTCACACCCCATCTCACTTTTATAAATGAGTAACTAAGGCAGAGAAAAGACTCTCTGATGGAGGTTAAGCTGTTACTCAGGAAAGTTGGAGAAGAAACTCAGGCTTCCTAACTCTTGCCCTCAGAATAATACCAAGTTGTATAACAAGATGCCATGTAAATCAGGAACACTGGTGCACACCTGTCATCCCAGCTACTGGGCAGGAAGAGGAGGAGGCAGGAGGATTGCAAACATGAGTCCAACCTCAGAAACTTAGTGAAACCCTCAGCAACTTAGGGAGACCCGAAATCAAAATAAAAAATAAAAGGGCTGGGGATGGAGCCCAGTGATAAAACACCATGGAGTTCAATTCACAGTACCAAAATCAAATACACACCATGAGGGGATGGGGGTATAGTCCAGTAGTAGAGCACAAGCTTAGCATGCTTAAGGCCCTAAGTTCAATCTCCAACACCAAAAAAAACTACCATCAGATAGTACTTCACAGCCACCAGTTAATAAAAACTTAAATATCTGACAACATTAAGTGCTAGCAATGACATGGAACAAGAACTAACATACTATTGATAAAAATTCATATTAGCAAAATCACTATGAAAAATTTAAATAGTGCAACAGATAGAAATCTAAAGCTATTCCCCGAAGATTCCTAGCCTGGTTATTCAATCAAATGTTAACCTGGGTACAATTGTGAAGTGACTATACAGATAAAATACAAACAGTAAACTATATCATCCAGGTGGGCACAAGCTAATCACAGAATAATACCAAGTTGCCCTCAGAATAATACCAATAATATCAATAAGCCCTGTTAACAGCAGACAATTATCTTCAGCTAAAGGAGGAGAAAGAGATGAGGTAGGATGGGCAATCTAGTAGCTCAGTGGTAGAGTGCATGTTTAGCATGTGTGAGACCCTGGGTTTTAACTCCAGCACACAAAAATAGAAAAGAAAAAAGAGGGTTAAGACATTCAAAGCATGAGAAGCAAACAACCAACTGCTTGCTGGCTCTGAAGATAAACTAATGAAAGAGACCACAGGGCAAGGAATATGAGTGGCCTCTAGAAGCTGAGAATAACCACCAGTTAACATCCAGTGAAGAAACAGACCTCAGTCCTACAACCACAGAGAACTGAACTATAAATAAGCTTGGGAGCAGATTCATCTCCAGAGTTTCTAGAAAAGAATACAGTCCTACCAACTAGATCTCAGTCTTATAAAACCCACAGCAGATAATCCAGACAAGTCTACCACACTTCTGACCTCTATGAGACTATGAATTTGTGTTGTCTGAAGCCTCTGAATTTGGGGCAATTTGTTAGGCAAGGTACAGTAGTGCACACCTGTAACCCGTAGTCCCAGTTATTCCAGAGGCTGAAGCGGGAACGTCTTTTTGGGCGGTGGAGGGCAGTACTGGGGATTGAACCTATAGCACTAGGCAAGTGCTCTACCACTAAGCTACACCCCAGCCCCAGAAGGTTCTCTGAGTCTAGGAGTTCAGGGCAAGCCTGGACAAGATAGCAGGACCCCATCTCAGAAAAACAAAAACACAGATAACCAACACTTGCAGAAAAAATGAAGAAATGTATTAACCTACAACCTAGAAGCTAGACATCTGACTAGATATGACTCTTGTCTCAGTGGCCTGAGTGTACCAGAAGACAAGCACAAGAGTGTTTTCACATCACCAAGCTCCTAAATGAAACTGAGTATAGCAAAAACAAGATTGGTAACAGATAAAATATAAAATGTTATACTGATTGTTTTACATATTCACAGTGAGTAGAATCAGAAGGCCTAAGAACTTCCTCAAAGATTATTTATAACAGAACAGTGTACTGCTTTAGAAAATGTGAAGTTAATCACGTAACTGAAGAACAGGTAAAGTTGGAAAGTTTAAGGGTTTTTTTTTTTAAAAAAAAAAAAAGTCATTTCAAGACTCAAATTTATATTGTTTTCAGAAACTTTAGCATAATTTTTATTTGCTTTCAGATATTTTAAACAATTTACAACCAAAAATATAAACATAAAAACAAATTAGGGGGCTGGGGTTGTAGCAGTGGTATAGCACAAGCCTAGCATGTGTGAAGCACTTGGTTCG